TTTATCTGCTTTTGCAACGACTACACTGACTTACAAGTTACTTCCAGTCGAAGGTCAAGAAAGGTAGCTTGTTGCGTTAGCTTCTGTATGTTTGGCATTAATTTCGAAACTGAATCTTGGCAATACTCACCCTATAATGTAAACAATGATCGCTAACTGTATTAGTCGATTGATCAGTCCAACCTTTTTGCTTTTGATATGCACTATCTTTGCTGTATCATACTCCAAAAGGGCTGAGAGAACTGTTTCACAAATTCCCCTACAAGACACCATTTTTACGAAATTTGATCGTGACGAGAACTGGATCGAGTGGGGGTCAATATACAGTGATGAAAGGGAGCACGTTGTGTAAGCCAATCACCAAACCCGAATTCTCACGAGGTCGAGCAGTTCATACAACACATAGTCTGCCAACCTTTCTGCGTCATTTCACGATTAAAGAACTCTATTTTTTCATGAGCGAAGGAAAGAGAAGAAAATACAATTTGTCTTCCAAGCTCGATGAACTTTTAGATCAAATGCAGTCACCTGATTTGAGCAGAAGCATTTCAAAATATGCCGACGTCGATGCAAGCTCGAACAAAACATCTGAGGCCAATGTTCTAGGAAGATGGATTTCCTCCCTGGATGATTCAGCGAAGGAACCACAGGCTCAATCTTCTGCTCGGAGCGGAATAGTTCAGAATATTTCTGGAATTCAGTCTTTTGATGGAAATGAGATGTTGACGAACACCACTTTACAAACAGACGAGAGTGCTTCCACACCGAAGGAATCATCTAATGAAACACAACCTTCTGGTGCAAACAGAGCACATATTGACCATGATATGGAAATGCAATCTTGTAGTGTGAACACAGTGGTTAAAAATGCTACCATACAATTTGTATCAGATGAAGAAACAACCATGGTGATCGATTCATCAAATGAAGCACGGCCTTCTGGTGTAAACACGTTGGATGATCATAGCAATGAAATTCAATGTTCTGATACAGAAAAGATGGTCGAGAATTCCACTGCAACAGGTGAAAAAACAACCATGTTAATTTCTCCATCAAGTAAAGCAGAGTCTTCTAGTGTGAAGAGATTGGATGATGTTGGCCATAACATAATTCAATTATTTTCTGTTGAAGGCCAGGAAGTGAACACTGCCACCATACCAAATGGAAATACAACAAGTCTGAGTGATTCGTTAATAGAAGCAGAGACATCTGATGTAAACATGGTGGATGATAATAGCAATGTCGTTCAATGTTCTAGTGCAGATAAGATTGTTGAGAGTACCACTGTACTAGATGGAAAAACAACCATGTTGAATGATTCATCAACAGATGCAGAGCCATCTGGTGTAAACATAGTGGATGATAATAGCAATAAAATTCAATCTTGTAGTGGAGATAAGACGATTACCACCGTTCCAGATAAAATGACTTTTGCGCCGAGGGGTTCAACAAATGAAACACAGCCTTTTTTTGTGAGCAGTGTAGATAACAATGGCACTGAAACAGAATCCTCCCATGTGAACAAGATAGTCGAAAATACCACTGTATTAGGAGAAACAGCAATACCAAAACAGTTTTCAAATGAAGTACAACCATCTACATGTATTCATCAAAATCTAGTGGGTTATAATGCCACTGAATTGCAATCTTGTAGTTTGAAGGAAGTGGTTGAGAATGCAACTATGCGATGTGAAAGGACATCTGCTCAGAATTCATTAGATCAGATCCAAGGTTCTGATGTGAACAGAGTGGATGATATTGGCACTGAATTGCAATCTTCTTGTGTGAGCAATGTGACTGAGAATGCTTCTGTGTCAGATATAAGGGTCTCAAACTCGAATATGTCATCAAATGAAACACAAGCTTTTCATCTGAACAGTGTCGAAAATAATGGCAGTGAGATACAAGGTCATAATTTGGACATGGAAACTGAGACAACTGCTACATTAGAAGAGTTAGCTATTACAAAGAATGATCTTACCAATCAAAGCCAATCTAGCAGTGTGAACATTACCTCTGAGAATGCCTCAGTAATGAAGGATCTTTCAAGTAAAAGTCACAGTAATTTTGATGATCCTGAAAATGAAACTGGAACAAATAATTCTGTGGAAGACAAGGTATTCAGTACACAAGAGATGCATACTTCCACTGTAAACCTGGACAATACTGAAGACAACCAAACAAGGCATTCTGGTCTGATAGATGTGGAAGAGAAAACTGATGTATCTGTAAGCACAGAGAAGAGAATGTTAGAGAAAACTGCAACCACTCTAGAGAGCATTTCTAACACACCACTGGTAAATTGTGATGAACCAAGTGATTCCACTGTAACTTCAAACTGCAGTATGACAGATGAAGCAGTGTCAACTGTAACTGACATCATGCCATTGTCAGAAGGAAATGAGTCATCTGTTTCATGTGTTACCCTAGGGGAAATAGAATCTACCCTCAATTGCATCTCTGATGCTTCTGAAGCAGGCATTAAAGATCCAGAAGCTAT